CCTCTCGGACCATCAAGCATACCGCCATTATCACGCAGAGCACACGAGTATAACACACAACTCAGCCAACCCCCTCAATCATTATTCGTACTGCTGCCATCCCGACGCAGATACAGGACCGTGCCTGGTATAACGTGGTCGCTATGGCCAGGGAGTGTTTGTACCTTCTTTGCGTCATACCGTCTTAAAGAAGCATCCCTTAACAGCCATGAGTGAGTGGCCGCGCACAGGGGAGCAGGGGGTGTAAATGGGTGTAAACTTGTGCTGTATTAAATGTTATTGCTTTCGTATGTCGTTGTTATCTATGGTGATGTAGTACAGACTGTAACAAATTTCCTGTGAAGGACAATAAAGTATATTATTATTATTATTATTATTATTATTTAGTCATGGTTTACTTGCTCTCTACCATAAATTAGCAAAATGTTTTTTATGCTCTTTTAAAGTCAATATTATTCAAAGTTTTCTGTTTCGTTTTGAGTTTATGAGAGACAGACCGTAAGCGTATTCCGTATTAGTTTTTGCATCTTCTTGTATTTGTGCATTTTTATGACGCTCAACGAGGTACGGCACTCAACGTAGGAAAACAGATTTTTTTTTTTACTAGATTTTTTACCAAAATGACTCAAAAAGAAGCCTGTATTGTTACATGAAGGCTTTATGGGTTTGTGTTTGGATTTCTGCATATGTGCCATTGTGTGTTTATCCAGTATGGCGTCAGTGGCGGCGCAAGGCTCAGACTCCCATGATGCACCTCTTCTCTTTGTTCTGCTGTGTGAGAGCAGTGTGCGGCTTTGTCTGCCTCTCTCGTTCCTCTCGGCTCGTTGCCTCAGAGGCAAGGTCTCGCTCTCTTCCCTTTCCTCTGCTTCAGACCTCTCTCGCTCTTTCATTCACTCTTTAATACCCATTGGGCACTGCTGTCCACTTCTTTCGCTCCTCTCTCTGTCGTTCGTTGTCTTTTACCTTCCCTCTTAATTTGCAATGAAACTCTCACTTCACTTACTCATTCTTCCTTTGCCCCTTGCCCCCGTTTTTAAAAAACCTCAAACCACTCCCTGTTGTTCTATTTTTTTGTGAATCTCACACTTTTCTGAGCTTCTTTGGTCACCCACGTACCGTCTACTCTCTCTTACCACTTATCTTAACTTGCCTCTTCTCGTTTTCCTCCTTTTATCATGTACCCCGGTGTATACGGTCTTTCGCCTGTTCTTTGCTCTTCCCCTTTGCTTTTGATTCACTTTCTTTTTCCCTTCCCTCTCTTAACCTCAACTTCACATCGGCCTTTCTACTTCATTCTTTGCCGTCTCACACCGATCCTTCACTTGAGACTGACCTCACTTCTGTCAGTCTCCTTCACACTGTTCTTCATATTTTTTCTTTTTCAACAAATGTATTTGTCCAAGACGACAGATTTTTCTTACTGCTTCGTCCTCACAGTGTCCTACCTACTGTATTGTTAATTCATGGCTAAAGTGCTGCTATTTTGTGTAAAACTGCTGAATTGTTCAAATTGTAATATAAACTTTATTATTCAATATCATCTAAAATGGCGGATGAATTATCTGTAAAACGTTTATTTTTTTCCAACCTGAAAATGCAAGATTCTTTCAATCCTTTAAAAAGTATCCTCATTTGTTTCCTTTTTATGAGTAGATTTTCCTTTTTCTATCCTTTCGCTCCAACACGCCTTTCATTCTTGCCACTCTCTTGCATTCGCTGTTCCCACTGTGGTATTTGCATGCATTCACCTGCTGTCTGGGTGTGTCAGCTGGTTACGACCTAGGTCACCTTCACCAGGGAGGGAATACGAGCGGTTGACGTGAGGTTTGAATGTGGTGAAGATGACATGTTGACAGCTCAAATGAATCGCTTGTCACATGTCATTTTTTCCCCCTCCCCCCTTGTTAATTCTTCCATAAGAATGCATACAATATACGAGAGGAATCTTGAGGACATACAGGGTTGCAAATTGTCACACAGGCATCACTCAAATTCAACACATTCAATTCAGTTTGCTTTTTTGTGTGTTTTTTTTTTTCTTTCTCTGCCCTCAAGACTGTGAATGGTCTCATTCTGTGGCGAATGTAGGAGGAAGAATAAGTCTAAGGAATTGAAAGGCGAGAAAGTGTCGTTTCTGAAAAGCTGTGAGGAACAGCTAGGCGGATCCTGGTGCAAATGTCAGTGAACTCAGTGACTCTAGGGTTGAAGTTTAAACCCTGTCTCCCTCCTCTGCTTCTGTGTCTCTCATCCTCTCTCTCCTTTTTGCTTTTACCTTCAAACTCTGCATCTCCATCCATGCCTGCCTCCTTCACTCTCTGCTCTCTGCCTTTCACTGCTTTTAAAGTTCATTGAATGCGGTGTTGGTATTCTGTGGTGTTTTCGCCTTGCCTACTCCAAACCCTCAGCACCAGGGTCACAGCATTCTTTTAGTGTGTTTGTAAAGAATTTTTCAGTGTCAATGCATCACCTGCAAACTGTGCGATTTATTTTCTGCACATATCTCCAGTGTTTAAATGGAAAACATAAGGATGGGATTCGTGGAGAAGGAAAAACAGGCAATTCCACAGTTTTCAGTCACTTCATATTTTCAGCACTTTAAGATTGAAATACCTTAGATTGGCTATTCAGCTGATCTATACCAAACTCTATAGCCTCCGATACTTATGGAAAGCTTAGTTTGAATCCTTTATGGACATTTTTTTCCATGGGTGTGTTTTAGTTATGTACCTGCAGTAAAACATATTTAATTTTTTAAGCCTGGAAAGCTGACAGTGAAAAGAGATGAACTGTTTTATGTGCCATTTTAAGGCTTTATGTGCTGTGAAATACGATGGGGGTTATGAAAGAGCAAAAGGAAGAGAGAGAGAGAGGAAAGGAAAAGGAGAGCGAGCGGGAGACTCCTGGTGTGGAGCAGCCTTTGATGTCTTAGCTGGCTTGGAGCTGAATGCGGAACTCACTGAAGGGTAGGCCTTGTTTCATGGTGGGAATATGAAGCTGGGTGTGCTGTCCGACTAAAAAAAAAAAAAAACCAGCGCATTTGCACATATTTTTTAAAATGCATTCATGTTTGTGTACACATGTTTTTATCTTCAAGCATGAGTGTGCATTTTGGCTTGTTTGTTGTCCCAGTAGCTAGGTTTCATTTCTCCCCTGTCATGTCACTCATTAGTTTGTGGTTCATGTTCAGATCAGTTACCAGGCCACATTGGGTGGCTTAGTAATTCACAATCTATGTGTGTGTGTGTGTGTGTCTCATATATACATTTATCTTGGTAATGACTGAGCTATAACATATCATAATATCAGGATGAATTAAGATATGAGCCTTCTGACTGTTGTGAAATGAATGATGAAATGATGATGATGTTTGATGAAGATGTGAACAGTTTTCTTAAATGTTTTTGATGCACAATAAACTCAGTGATAGCGCTTTGGGTTTGGATTTTTACATTTTTTGAGTCAAGAGTATGTAAACTGAGTTCATGTTAGATTTACTATGAGACGACTGCAACATCTATGAATTGTTTCAACACATCCTTGCTTTAATATAATAATTTTACGGTCTGAAAACACTGAGATCACAGCGTCATGAGTGACCTGCTATCTGATTGTTGGTTTGTCTTGATCTGATCTGATCTGGAGACTAAGGTCAGACTCAGTGGGAAGACTTGAGAGTCCTTATTCATCATTGATCATCAGTATTGACCTCTGATTTAGTGATACATTGCTTCAAAATATGCTCTTAGTAAGACAGAGTAAATCAATGTCATCAATAGATGATGCCTACAGTTCATTATCTTTGAGTCTGTGATTGATTTTGGTAATGGTGGAGGTCTCATGGTCTTTAAACTGGATTTATCTCTCTGTCTCTCCATCAGTCATGGCTGTAGTGAAGTTCTACAGTAATGAAGTTGTGAATGGGCGAGCCTTACAGAGGGCAGCCAAGCTCTACCCCCAACTGTCAATCACCACCGAGCTGTGCTACAATGCGGAGCTGACAGGTGAGTGTGTAACAGCTTGTCAGTTGGTGATGATGACGATACTAATAATTGAAGATGCAGAAGATTTTCCACACGCCTTCTGTCTTCTCCATTAATCCATTTTACCGTGCTGTCACTGTTTCCTCCTAATGTGTGCTGCAGGCTGCGAGAGTCTGAGTGCAGAACAGAAGGAGGTTCTCCTCTGGTTGTTTCGCCCTCCCCTGCAGGCGGAGCCGCTGTCTGAGAAACCAAACCTCACAGAGGGCAGCGGGGAGAAACTGGTGGAGATCGGACCCAGGTACTGCTGCACCCACTCAGTCTGATAAATGGCCTGTATCACAGGCTGTGGCTCTGCTTTAGTCCAACATTGGGCTTTATGTCCTCCACTATATTGAATGTGTTTTTAAGACTGGTGACCTGAGCAGCACACAAAAAGACTTTCCTATATGAAAAAATCCTGATTAAAGGCCCACTAATTAGTTTTTTTTCTGGATCTCTCTGGATTTCAATATGTTTTGGAAATCTTTTGTTGTTATATGACTGTACACACTGAAACAAGCTGGGCATGAATAGGGATGGGAATCGAGAACTGGTTCAAAATTCTCTATTGGAATCTTATGCCTCTGAGATTTTCAATTCCTTTGATCAATGTTGGCATGTTTTTTGACAGTTGCGCAGTGCGAAACAATGATGTTAAATTAATGCACCTCCACTGCTGGAAACTTTCAACAGTAAACAGTCATTGCAGAGAGGAGTCCAAAGCATGTCTTTATTTCGTGAAGATGACAACGGTGCTCATTGTAATGTCTGTGAAACGATCATTTCAAGTAACACCAGTAATATTCTGAAACATATTTCTATACAATATGGGCCAGGAATGCCATATATTAGACACTCTACAAACAATCGCCACTGCTTCCCAACTAAGCAAGATCCTGTCACACAGAGGGGAAATATATAATGTTCTAATAACAATGCTTACCGGCCTTTTTTCACGCAGAAAGTTGATCAGGAATCAACAATAAGCCGAATCAATAATGGCATTAGTATCAATTAAATGTTATAAATTCCCATCCCTGGGCATGAATTTTGATTTGATAGAAATTATCCAATTGGATCTTCTGGTAAAGGTTTCTAGGAAATCTGCACAGTTACCTACAGCTGCATGTAACAGATCAATAAGACCCGAGAGCCCCACAGCGACCCCTAGAGGTTGCATGGTCTTTAGGATTTTCTATTTCAAAGAGCCTTATCTGTTGTGGGCCTGAAACGTAAACTTCAGAGGATTTACGACTGGTTGCTTATTGCTACAGTAAAGAAAAGATATTAAAGAAAATATTTTTCCTGTGAGGCAAGCAGATGTTCACTGTGTCCACTGGAGGATAATATGGAAATCTTAAATAATCATTTTAATCTGTCACACAGACTGAGGGGCAAACATCATTTGTAATTGGAGGATCTCAACCAGTGAGGCAAACATCAGACGTGTTTTTATTTGTGTTGTTGCTGTTTGGTTCTTCAGGTTGAACTTTTCCACCGCCTGGTCCACTAATGCCGTGTCCATCTGCCAGAGTGCCGGCCTCACTAATGTCACACGGGTCGAGCTGTCTCGCAGGTTTCTAATCAAGGTTTGCACACACACACACACACA